GGTCTCACCTGTCCATGTTTGGGTCTCACCTGTCCATGTTTGGGTCTCACCTGTCTGTTTTGGGTCCCCAGGGCAGTTTTTTGTGATGATGTCACCGCAGGAGGTGCTCCCGGGGGGGGCCCAACGTTCCATCGCCCCCCGCGCCCACCCCTACTCCCCGTGAGTACCTGGGCACACACCTGGGCACACCTGGGGGACACCTGAGCACACCTGGGGACACCTGGATACACCTGGGGGCATCTGGGACACACCTGAGACACACCCGGGGACACTGAGACATACTTGGATACACCTGGGACACACCTGGATACACCTGGGGGCATCTGGGACACACCAGGATACACGTGGGACACACCTGGGGACATCTGGGCACACTTGGGATACAGCTGGATACACCTGGGCACACCTGGATACACCTGGGGGCATCTAGGATGCACCTGGGCACACCTGGGGGCGTCTGGGACACACCAGGATACACCTGGGACACACCTGGGGCTCACCTGGGATACACCTGGGCACACCTGGGGGCATCTGGGATACATGTGGGACACACCTGGATACACCTGGGATACACCTGGGCACACCTGGGGACATCTGGGACACACCTGGGGACACTTGTGGACAGCCAGGACACACCTGGGACACACCTGGACACACCTGGATACACCTGGGGACAGCCAGGACACACCTGGGACACACCTGGATACACCTGGGGACATCTGGGACACACCTGGGACCCCTTGGGACACACCTGGGGACATCTGGGCACAGCTGGGCACACATGGATTCACCTGGGAATGCCTGGGATGCACCTGAGCACACCTGGATATACCTGGGATGCACCTGGGGACACCTGGGACGCACCTGGGGACACCTGGATATGCCTGGGACACACTTGGATACGTGTGGGACACACCTGGGATACACGTGGATACACATGGACACACCTGGGGACACCTGGGACATACTTGGATACACCAGGACACACCTGGGGACACCTGGGACACCCAGGACACACCTGGATACACATGGGACACACCTGGGATACACCTGGGACACACCTGGGCACACCTGGGACACACCTGGGGACATCTGGGATACACTTGGGACACCCAGGACACACCTGGATACACCTGGGACACAGCTGGACACACTTGGGGACATCTGGGACATACTTGGGTACACCTGGCACACACCTGGGACACACCTGGGCACACCTGGGACATACTTGGATACACCTGGGGACACCTGGGATACATTGGGGACACCTGGGATACACTTGGGACACCCAGGACACACCTGGGCCACACCTGGGACATACTTGGATTCACCTGGATACACCTGGGGGCACCTGGGGACATCTGGGACACACCTGGGTACACCTGGACACACCTGGACAGCCCTGGTCCCACGTGGCCCCTTTCCCGCCCCTTTTCCCGCAGGAAATCGGAGGCTCCGAGAGCCACCCGGGATGAGAAACGTCGGGCACAGCACAACGAAGGTACCGGGGAGCCAGGGAATCCCAAATCCAAGGAATCCTAAATCCAGGGGATCCCAAATCCAGGAATCCCAAATCCAAGGAATCCTAAATCCAGGGGATCCCAAATCCAGGGATCCCAAATCCAGGGATCCCAGAGCCAGGGATCCCAGAGCCAGGGGATCCTGAATCCAGGGAATCCCAAATCCAGGGAATCCTAAATCCAGGGATCCCAAATCCAGGGGGACCCAAATCCGAGGAATCACAGATCCAGGGAATCCTAAATCCAGGGAATCCTAAATCCAGCAGATCCTAAATCCAGGGAATCCTAAATATGGGGATCCCAAATCCAGGGGATCCCAGATCCAGGAGATCCCAGATTGGGGGATCCTAAATCCAGGGGATCCCAAATATGGGGGGACCCCACATCCAGTGGATCCTTAATCTAGAGGATCCTAATTATGGGGGAATCCCAAATCCAGGGCATCCCAAATCCAGGGGGATACCGAATATGGGGGGACCCCAAATCCAGGGGGCTCATCCCAACCCCAGGGGTCTCATCCCAAATCCTGTCGTTTCCCCCCCTTTTTTCCCCTATCCCCTTTTCCCACCATCCCATTCCCCCTTTTCCCTCTATCCCAACCCTCCAATTCCTCTTTTCCCACTATCCCACCCCCTTTTCCCACCATCCCAACCCCCCATTCCCCTTTTCCCTCTATCCAACCTCCCCATCCCCCTTTTCCCACCATCCCATCCCCCTTTTCCCACTATCCCATCCCTCTTTTCCCCCCATTCCATCCCCCTTTTCCCCCCATTCCCTCTATCCCACCCTCCTATCCCCCTTTTCCCACCATCCCATTCCCCTTTTCCCACCATTCCAACCCCTTTTCCCACCCCCATTCCCAGTGGAGCGCCGGCGCCGGGACAAGATCAACAACTGGATCGTCCAACTCTCCAAGATCATTCCCGACTGTTCCATGGAAAACACCAAATCCGGGCAGGTCCGTGCCCCTCCCCCTCCCCCCCTCCCCCATTTGGGGTCCCCCCTGACCCCCCCCTGACCCCCGGAATTCCCGAATTCCCAGAGCAAGGGCGGGATCCTGTCCAAGGCCTGCGACTACATCCAGGAGCTGCGGCAGAGCAACCTCCGGCTCTCCGAGGAGCTGCAGGGACTCGACCAGCTCCAGCTCGACAACGAGGTGCTGCGCCAGCAGGTCGGACTGGGAGCACTGGGAGGGACTGGGAGGGACTGGGGGACACTGGGAGTGGAGCTGGGAACAGTGAGAGGGAACTGGGAGCAGCGGGAGGGAACTGGGAGCACTGGGAGAGCAGGAGGAGCTGCAG